GAACTTTGTTTTCTTCTTCTCCGTAAAGGTCAACTGCCAGTTGGGATATGCGTCAGCGTCGTCCTCATGTTTCCTCATTACGCGTTCACAGGGGTTTCATTTCAGGCCCTGTGGGTTGGGAAGCCAATGCTTCATCACAATTGGACTGTGTTGCTGCACCTCCACTGCCTGTTTCAACATTGAAGTGCCATACAGTGATTAACCCCTGCTCTGTTTTCTCAGGGTGCTCACGTGTGTGCGCGCAAATCAATTTTGTCCTTAGTCAAGTGGAAATATCTCTATTAGTGTAATTGATTATTTTGCCTGGAGCACCAGCGTGGAATTTTGAAGCCGCAGGGTTCATGGCACGGTTCTTTGTTGAAATTGCGGTGAAATAATTGAGTGCCCTTAAATTAATCATTGTGCATTGAGTTCACAGCAGGGAAGGCTTGGAACCAGCAGCAAGCGTTCATGTATATAGGATTTACTGTGACTTTTTAATGGTCGGAAATCAAATCCTCGAAAGAGATGACAACAAAGTCAAGTAAATTTGAACTTAAAGCTATGTGAAACAGTGGGGTCCTTTTCAAAGCATGTGTGTGCTTTTGGTAGAGGGTGCTGTGTTAAGTTTAGTTTGTGGAGCAATAATTGGATGCATTTGTCTGCTTGCTTAGGGCTGGCCAAGATTGCCTATTGTGGATGTCTCTACAAAAGTCTGAAAAACGAATTTGCCACGTGCATGAAGTCGCCGTTAAAACTACATATTCAGGGCTTTACATTAACACCCGCCAAATGCGGGTAGATTTCGGCGGTGATGGGTTAGACAGACACTCCCACTAGCCACTTTGGCTGGTTGAAAATAATTTTTCCAGATAATAATTTTTAAAAGCAGGGTACGACAATAAAGATGGTCCAATATGCATGCACAGGCGATCGAGAAGCAACACGACAGACAAAAATAATTGCGTTCGCAACTTCGCGCGAGCAAAGCAGGTGAATACCGAGATATGAGAGGATAATCACTCGCGCAAACAGCTGAGGTGATGCGCGCGACTGTTTATAACGCGTGTGCGCTCCCGTTTCCTTTTGTGAAGCAACTGTGGCTAGAAACACAACTGATGCGATCGATTCTCTTTTTCAAATAGACTGAACAAAAATGGAGGAACATGCACCTACAGTTTGCTGCTTTCAAGAGTTCCAAAGTTGACTTATTGTAAGCAGCGGCAGTTGCTTTCGGCTGAACCATTCTTTGAAAAGATAATTTATGGGTCTATCATTAACCATGCGTGTGTGATCATCCTTCCATTATCACACAGTATGTTTTTTACCTGCTTTCTTTTGCGTTAATATGGTTTAATTATCAGTTTTTTTTTACAATAACATTGCTAAGTTAACTAGTGATCTGGGACCTTTAGCCAGAACACATGACTGTGCATATGTTTTGTTAAATAAAAAGAATGTATTCAGCTATATTTTTCATGTTTTCACACATTTAAAATTTGTGGCTAAGTAATAATTAACTGTTTATTTATGGTGTGGTCAGAGATAAATTGGGTAAATCCTTCCATTTTGGGCTCTAAATATTATGAAAACTAATTATAATATATGAAACCCTGCCTGACCCATTTTCTTATGATTATTGAGCAAGCTCATACACAACACACAAAAGGTAAAATGAATGAGGAGACATGTAGAGATAGCAAAATCAAATAATTTTAGCATGTCAAAGTCATATTTATGGATATAAAATATATTTTCCCAACAATAAAATTGTGGCTAGTAAAAATGGCGAGTGGCTAGTAATGTTGGAAAACTACTAGCCACAGTGGCTGGTGGTCAAAAAAATTTATGTTAAGCCCTGTATATATTTATTCCTTCATTCATTTTCTTTTCGGCTTAGTCCCTTTTATTCATCAGAGGTCGCCACAGCAGAATGAACCACCAACTTATCCAGCATATGTTTTACACAGCGGATGCCCTTCCAGCTGAAACCCATCACTGGGAAACACCCAGACACTCTCATTCACACACATACACTATAGACACTTAGGCTTACTTAATTCACCTGTACCGCATGTCTTTGGACTTCCGGGGGTAACCGGAGCACCCAGAGGAAACCCACGCCAACACGGGAAGAACATGCAAACTCCACACAGAAATGCCAACTGACCAAGCCGAGGCTTGAACCAGTGACCTTTTTGCTGTGAGGCGAGAGCACTACCCACTGTGCCACCGTGCTGCTGAAACTATATATTTTAGAAATAATAAGAGTACAAACACATTTGTTCACCTTATATTTGTATTTAGCCATACAAGAAAAGAGAAATATATATAATAACAATTTAATAAACTTAAAACCCTCAGACCCTATGAGAAATGCATTGGTATTTGATTGTTTACATTGCTTCTGAGAAATATTTCTTCTTCTTATTGCTGGTCATTTTGGCCAGGACACTTGTGAAAGATAATTCATCTCAGAGTCTTTTTTCTGGTTAAATGAAGCTTAAATAATAATAATAAAAAAACTGATGATTATTCTAATAGAGAAATAACAATCAGCAAAGTTATTTTTTAAGTCTTAAAAAAATTTGATGCTTCATAGACAGTTTGGCTTAAACCTTTATGGTCCCTCATCTTCTGACTCTCAAGATGTCAAAAACTACTTAATTTATTTCCAATTTTTACTGAAATGTAAATAAAAAAACAAATGAGAGCAGCATTTCCTGCTTGCTTTCTGAGAGCTGTTTAGTGGATTCTTAAACACTCCTGATTGGCTATTGCATTTACAAGCTCAACAGAACTGTCTGTGCTACATCATGATCGTTGAGTCAATAGCTATGTTTCCATCCAAAAATGCGAATTAACTTTATGCGCAATACTGGATTATTGCATAAAAGACGTGCGAATAAAGCAGCGTTTCCATCAAACAAATCAAACCAATCAAAATCAGCACTTCCGGATTAACTGGCGGCATATATCAACAGTAAAAACGAAATTTGCTGCAATAAGAGAAGATGCGTGAATCTTTTATTCATTTAATAAATGACTTGCGCTTCAGAAGGCAATCTTGAAAGGCAGTGAACGCGCGGTGGCATTTGAAGGCGTGAGACATGGAGACACTCTTGATTCTGGAGGTCTTTAATAATATAATAACACTTAGGAATTTTAGAATGACCAAAACAACATTTTAGTTGTTTTACAGTGTGTTCAGCCTGCTAATTTGATCATTCACCCACAGTTTTATCATCACATGATCTCATAACAAAATCACATGACTTTTTTTATTCGCATACTGGAATTTTATTGGTAAAAGTGTTTCCATCATTGTTTATGTCCATCTTTTCTTATCGAAGAAAATGTTTATCTTTCTCAGTTATGTGCATGTGTTTTTAATGCACATTTTAAAAATCTATGCGCATCTTGGCGTTTCCATAAACCGTTTTTTATTTATTTATTTATTAATTAATTTTTTTATTATCGTATTTAATTAATTAATTTTTTTATGCGCATATTCAAAATAGCCATAAAAATAGGTGGATGGAAACGTAGCTACTGATCGCTTGCATGGCAGTGTTTCAAAGCTGCGTCTGTCAGTGGATCCGTCATATATATGATGAGAGCTGCTTGACGCATGCTTTCAAAGCTGTTGTATAAAAACCGGTCCCACTTTATTAGGTCTAAGGTTGGGTTAAGGTAAGGGATATGTCAACATTGTGATTCTAAATGTAATTACAGAAGTAAGTAAGTGGCAATTGCAAGCTTACAAGCAGATCATTAATAGTAATAGCATTTAAGGCCACTTACTATAAAGTGGGACCTATTAACCAACTACACTATGGCACTGACATTGTAACTTATCAGGAAATGTCAGAAATGTATTTAAAAATCAAATTACTGTTATTGTAAAACAATTTTGTCGAGATATAAATTGATATTCAGATCTATGTTTGCTCCTTCCAGTGGTATGACTACAGCCTTTGAGTCACATGGCGCTGGATTAATCCGGCTTTTTGGATGATGAGCAAATCTTCTGTGTTGAATTGTCAGTGTAACTAATGATTCGATCTGTTTGAGATCTTGATTTGCGAACACAAGCACAATAAGCATATTGGAGTTCTTCCCAAATTCAGTGGCTGTATGTTGGAAATTCCCATTGAGGTGGTTGCCATTCATAGGGTGTGCATCTTGTTTTGAGATGCTTTGCATATTAAGCAAGAGAAAAGTAGTAGCTGAGACATGAAAAGTCTTAATAGCAGGATACCTCTGACATTTCCAAATCTTATTCCGTGTTGAATTGTTAGTGAAACTAATGAGTTGATCCGTCTCAGATATTGATTTATGAACACAAGTACCTTGGAGTGCTTTCCAAATTCAGTGGCTGTATGTTGGATATTCACTACATTGAGGTGGATGTCGTTCATAGGGTGTGCATGTTGTTTTGAGATGCTTTGCATATAAAGCAAGAAGATATAGTAGCTGACATGTTGAAATTCTTAATAGCAGGTTACCTGACATTTCCAAATCCGATTTCATACTGAATTGTCTGTGAAACTAATGAGTTGATCAGTCTGAAAACCTGATTTACAAACACAAGCACATTAACCTTTTTGGAATGCTTTCCAAATTCAGCGGCTGTATGTCGGAAACTCACTGGCATGGAGGTGGCTGGCGTACATAGGGTGTGGATGTTGTTCTGATATGCTTTGCATATAAAGCGGGAGAAAAGTAGTAGCTAAGACGTTAAAATTCTTAATAGCAGGTTACCTGACATTTCCATCCTGTGACTCAGCCGAACGCTCTTTGTTAACTGTTGATTTCTACAGCGTCTGTTATTTTGGAATCAGTGCCGATTGTGACGCACATTACCGTTGGCATTTGCTTAGAACTCTCTGAAAGCCATCTTTTGCCCTTTAGTCATTTCAAAACAAACTGTCATATAAATGGCTCAGCTTGTGCTGCTCTTATACTAATGCCCATGTGTTTTGTTTTGTTTTTTTTCGAATGGTTTATGGTGCTTCAAGGTGACCATAATGGATACCGGAGTGAGAGGGACGATTGCTGTTGGTCTGGTTCCTCAGTATTACAAACTTGACTATCAGCCCGGCTGGCTTCCGCAATCAATTGCTTACCATGCTGATGATGGGAAGTAAGTTCACATGGAGAAGTATTTTTTATGTCTCTTTAAAGTGGTAGTTCACTCAAAAATGAAACGACTATAACCATATACTCATCCTCCACTTGTTCCAAACCTCTTTGTGCTTCTTTCCTCTTTTGAACACAAAGCAATCAGAGATGGAATGAAATGAAGTGCAAATGCTTTGTTACTGTACTTGAGTAGATTTTTCTGGTGTCAGTACTTTACTCCACTTTTTATTTTTCTGGGAATTGGCAATGTAAACATGTTTATACCAGGTAATAAGATGCGTTTTAGTTAATCGGATCACAGGTAGAAAAGCAGACCCCCTAGTTTTTTGCGATTTCGTGATCGCTGAATACAACGCAAAATCAATAAATAAAAAAAAAAAAAAAAAAAAAAAAATATATATATATATATATATATATATATATATATATATATATATATATTAGATCCTGCAAAATTCTTAATAAAATAAAATAATCATAAAAAATGTACAGTTGAAGTCTGAGCAGATTTATTTAACACATTTCTAAACAATAGTTTTAATTACTTATTTCTAATAACTGTTTTATTTTATCTTTGCCATGATGAATGTAAATAATATTTTACTACATATTTTTTAAAACCCTTCTATACAGCCTAAAGTGACATTTAAAGGCTTAACTAGGTTAATTAGGTGAACTAGGCAGGTTAGGGTAATTAGGCAAGTTATTGTATAATGATGGTTTGTTCTGTAGACTACCAAGAAAACAAATAGGTTGAAGGGGCTAATAATTTTGTCCCTAAAATGGTGTTTAAAAAATTCAAAACTGCTTTTATTCTAGCCTAAATAAAACAAATAAGTCTTTCTCCAGAAGAAAAAATATTATCAGACATACTGTGAAAATTTCCTTGCTCTGTTAAACATCATTTGGAAAATATTTAAAAAAGAAGAAAAAAACGTGAAGGGGGCTAATAATTCTGACTTCAACTGTATATCTAATAAAGAATAACATTCAAAACCATAATCAAATTATATTGATTTCAGTTTGCAATTAAATGTTTTACATGACTTATAGATGTTGCATTCGCAGCACACCTGATGCATTTGAGTGTCTCTTGAAAAATGACGTCTCGCCTGTGCCCTCACAATCATTACATTACATGGTGTGCGAGTGTTTTACATGGGGTGCCTGTGCAGTTAGCAGATGCGAATGAAGCACAAGTTATTTACATGTGAAGTCAATGCAAAAATGCGATTAGACATCATGAGGCACAAATTGGGCATTTTGTTTATTTGACGTGCTTTAGACTGCAAAAAAGTGCGAGCAAACATCTAAAGAACGTAGCAATGGAACAGACAGAAAAGCAAGCAGCTTACAAGTGGTTAAAGGATGACAACCACTGGACTTGAGCGAATTGAAAGACATTATTTGTGACAACAAAGTTAGGTTTTGTGTTTAGGTGATGAAACACGAGTTATTTTGTTTTGATTATTTTGAGGGATGTAAACAATAACAATGGTCCAAAAGTTTTTTCTGTTTTACATGTTTAATTCCCATGGCTTCCGAGAATCCAAAGAGGTCCACATATTGATAAATAATATTTTGATAGCTGTATTTTTAACGTGAAGATATGATTGAATTGCCCATACAGTTATGAAATTATATGATAACATGCAGGAAATGTTCAAGGGCCAATGACATATCCGCATTGAAATGGTCTATAGATGTATACATTTTTTGTGAAGTAGTTGTCATTGTGAAACTAGTTTGTATTTCAGGCCGTACTTCTTTATTCGCAAAAGTGTAGTCAGTAATTCAACTTTTACCAGCATAGTTTTAAATGCGAGTATCTGTACTTCTACTTGAGTAAAAGATTCGTGTACTTTTTCCATCTCTGAAAGTCATATACACTGAAGAATGTTGAACATTCACTTCAGTAATATTTTTTGGTCCTACTATTGATGCCAATAGCTGATTCTGTCAAGAATTCTTCAGAATATCATCGCTTTTGTTCAACATAAGAAAGAAATTCTTAAAAGTTTTGAATCCAAGTCTGAGTAAATGGTGAGAGTTTTATTGTTCTGTGAACTCTCCCTATACATGGCTCAAACAACAACCCTTAAATGTTTACTTTTTTATTTAATCAGGGTTCCCACACTTCTTAAAAGAGCTTCAAAGTACTTGAATGTCAGACATATGAACTTGACATATGAGTACTTAAAAACAAACATAGGTGCTTTAATGTAAAGTTTATGGTGTTATTTCAGCAATTGTACTGTACTGCTTTCAAAAACTGAATGAAAAAACAGAAACATTGGGTAACACTTTATAATAACTACACACTATGGATCATTTATTAAGCATTAGCAAATAGTTGATTATGAGTTAAGCATTAACTCTGCATTAATAGATGTTAATAAGGTTGTAAATACATCAACAAATGCTTTGTTCTAGACTTATTAGTACATGTGTAATGTATTTATTATTTGTGTTTTCATACTTTGTTAATGATTACTTTTTCATTACTAAATTAAGTATCACATTATTTCCAAACAAGGGATTTATAAATAGTTGGTGGTTTTATGAGATCATTCAGAATGCATAAGTATAGGATTAACAAACTTTTCAAAATAACATTTATATATCTAATTATTCAGGCATATATTAATAGCTACTTTGTATGCTAATAAATGCTTTAAGTCAACTTCTTCCATTTTTGTAAAAAAATTAGGACTATTTATGATTTAAAATGGCTGAATAATCACATAAATTTAAATTTGAACAGTTTATTAATCATTTACTTACACATTGTGAATGATCTTTAAAAACACCAACAATTTTTAAAATAACTGATTTGTAAATAATGTGATACTTAATTTAGTAATGAAAAATGAACCATAATAAAGTATGAAAACAGTATCATTAAGAACATTATACATGTGTGGTTAAGTCAAGAATACAGCATTTGTATCTGTGTTTATAAACTGCTTACTAACGTCTGTTAATGTTGATTTAATGCTTAATAGATCATTAATGAACTATTTGCTTAATAAATGATTCATAGTGAGTAGTTATTTTAAAGTGTTACCAAAAATTCTTAATTTAAAAATCTAACATTTAATTCAACGAACAATGCATCTTATTAATATTTCAGAAACCACATTTGATAACTACCAGTAGTGAATTCAACTAATTGTATTTGAACATGACATGTCTACATTTGTGAAAATTAGACATTCAAAACATCATCATTATTATGACATTTTAATGTAAATATTAAGTGTAAGTGAAATTTTAAGTATAGGAAGGACTTTAATGGCATTACACACTCACCGGCCACTTTATTAGGTACACCTGTCTAACTTCTCGTTAATGCAAATTTTTAATCAGCCAATCACATGGCAGCAACTAGTACTAGTACTGTACTAGTAAGGTGTACCTAAAAAGTGGCCGGTGATTGTATATGCTTGGGAGTTTGAATTAAGGTGCTTGATTGAAAATATTTAATGATTTAAAAAGTCCTTGAAAGTCATTGAATTTGGTGTCCATGAATGAGTGGGAACCCTGTTTAATAGAAAATTGTTTTTTTAAACCCCTTTTGAAAATGTTGATATCAGGAATAAGGGTCACGTCTTCCTTCCAAGAACTTTTCCAGGTATTAGTCACACATGGCTGTAATCTCTCTTTTTCACAGGCTGTATAACGGCAACCCTGTTGGTCAGCAGTTCGGTCCTAAGTGTAACCGTGGTGACCGAATTGGCTGCGGTATCTATGCAGACAGTTTTGATGCTGGACTCGTCACTGTGTTTTTTACAAAGAATGGAAAGGAGGTGAGTCTCAACATCTTTGGCACATCACCATTTTTCGTAAATACCTTCACATATTCTCTACACTGTATGTGACTCTAGCATCGCAGATTCTTCGCTTGATGCGTACAGCATAAATGAAATGAGGCAGTGGTGTCCAAAAAGAGGTGTCCTGCATATTTTAGCTCCAACTTGCCTCAACACACCTGCATGGATGTTTCTAGAAAGCTTAGTAAGAGCTTGATTATCTAGGTGTTTCTGATTGGGGTTGGAACTGCAGGACAAAGGCCCCCCAGGACTGAGTTTGGCCACCTCTGGAATAAGGCATCAGTTTACTCTCAGACATAACACAGATGGAATCAAATCAGGAATTGGCAGCAGCTTTTGCGATGAATCTACTGCATCATAGTATATGCATCACAGACCAAAGTTAATATTATTGTTTTTTACTGCAGAGACAAATGCTCTACTAATGTCATTTAAAGGTCATTGAATCCTCTTAACTAAATGATTTTTTTATATAATAACTGACTCAAAATCTTGTCTTTGAAGTGTGGTGATAAATAAAATGATTATCAAACAATCATACATTCTAATAAAAAATTATTTCACTATTAATAGTGAAATTGGCTAATTATTGCATCCCTGTTAACGATATCAGTGCATTGTGCAAAAAAACCTTTTCTACAAACATATCCAAATGTTTTCGGCTGCTCGCTCCACTCGCTCATGTCAGGTGACTCGCACTCTGCGCAGCCCTTTAATTGCAGCTCGTGCTCTAAACAGACACGTGTCGCTTCATTACTATAGCAGCAGTTTTTTTGACTGAACTAAATTTATTTTTGATGTCTTGGTCACACTATTTGGAGGGCTACAACAAATTACCTCAGCCCGCAGGCCGCCAATTGAAAAGCCTTGTTGTAGTTTGTTACTTTCGTCCAAATGGATCAATGGTTTTATTCATGTCACCTCAAACTACAGTTTTTCATCACATCATAACCAATCAAATACTCTCTAGTATCTGACATGCCCCTTCCCCTTTAAGATGCTTCTCATTTGCTTTTTATTTAATGCACTTGAGCTCAATCACTCTCACTGGTTGAGAGGTGACCAAACAAAATGTTATTAGCTGATTTTTTTTAAAAATGTGAGGAGCTACACTTTGTAGCCACCCTTTCCTTGTGTTTCGGTTGAGATTATGCCAAACATCGAATAAAAATGCATATTTCAAAGTAGGGTTGTAACAATATACCGGTATGACGGGCTACCACGATTTAAACGTGCACGATTATCATACTATGAACAATTGCATATCAACGGTTTTAACCTTTAAAGACCGAGACAGCCGCCCGCGGCTAAAAATAAGTATTGCTCTTAATTGTTTAATAACTTTTGATCCGCTGATCCGATTCATACAATTCAAAGATTGGCATAAAGAAGAGAATCTCAGCTTTCCAGTGCTGTATCAAATAACATTCGCAGACTTTTAGAGGCTCTGGAATCAGTGCGGTTACGTCATCAAAATTTGACAACGCTGATTTGACAAAGAAACGCTCGTCACTGTGTCTCCGGACAAACCAGACATGATACATTGATGCATTGTCCCTCCTCCATGCCCAGATTGGTTCAAACTCGCTATATCACAACCAATAAGCATAGGTTTCGCTTTTGTTTGTGGACCAACAATGAGCTTTTTGAACAACACAGAATGAGAGATAGGCATACATTTATGCGTGGCTAAATAAAACGCAAAAAAAAAGTTTTGCATGAAATAATTCTCATACTAAGTACTTTTGCATGCACAGCAGCACAGAAACATGACAAAACAGTGACACAGCAAAGACGAACTGCTGCTCTTGCTGTTTTCAAAAGACGCAAATGAAGGTGCAGCTGTTTGTCTGCATTGCAGACAACCATATCCAAATCCATATCGATAGACAACCATATCCATGCTGGCACATAAAACCTAAGGATGTTCCATATTGAATCTAGTTTCGTTATGTAACTATTTATAGTATAGTAAATATTTATATCTATTTTTTTACTGAGGATTTGCACCATGTTTATTTGGACTTTATTTGGACTTTGACACATTATTTATTATTTTCTTATTTTTTTTGATTTGTTCATTGTAAGTGGTGTTGTTTATAGTAACTGAAAATATATTATTTGGGAAAAAGTCAAATTTGCTTCACTGTTCTATTATTTTGTAACATTTGTAACATACCGTATACCGCGAAACCGTCAAACCGTGGTATTGTTTTAGACGATTATCATACCGTAAAAAAATTCATACCGTTATAACCCTATTTCAAAGCACTTCACGGGACCTTTAAGACTTCTACGTGTGCCTATTTAAAATACTTAGTCAATCAATCTATTTATAATGTCCAACTGAGTAAATGTTCTAACAATGGTAAATCTATTGAAGTTATTGCTGTGTGTTAACTTTGACGACGCTTTGTTACAATAATTGCATGCTATAGATTTAAGCATTCTTTAACCGATCACACAACATCTGCATCAGACTATGATTTCTGTGCTCCTTTGATATGTAATGGTTTTGTTTATTGCTCTATTACCGTGCTTACAAGAATCTGTTGCTGTGAAGTCTTTGAACACACACACAATAGTCTAGTCTTCAAATTGAGGGTTGTTTTCTGATGACTGGTTTTCCTGCAGGCCAGATAGTAGGGTCAGAAGTGATGCAGACACCATTTCAAAGAGCAGTCTTTATTTTCAGTTATAATGTGCTGTAAAATAGCGGTTAGCTTTATGGAATGCTTTAACAGAGCTCTCTTTATGTGTGTGTGTGTGTGTGTGAATGGAAGGTGGGGTCAGTGGTGGTGCCCGTGGCTCCAGATGGGCTTTTCCCTGCCATTGGCATGCACTCCCTCGGCGAGGAGGTACGGTTGGACCTGCAGGCAGAATGGGGTTCAGAGGAGGAGGACAGTGTCATGATGGTGGACAGTCATGAGGACGAATGGGCACGCCTGTATGACGTCAGAGTCAGCGGCACGGTGAGTCGGGGAGGGGGGCAAGCATCAAAGACCAGATCAAATGTGAAGCCAATGCGTTTCATAATCATTTTTCACTCTGCTGTTTCTTGGAAAATCTGATGAGTTGAATGCAGAATGGTGAAATGCTGTAATGTAAGCCATATTTGATACTGGGTTAATGGGAAGTCTTTCATATTTAGGAATAACAGGGCGTCCATGGATCCTTAAAAAGTCTTAAATGCATAGTATCAAATAAGGCCTTAATTCATCTTAAAGGGCTGGTCCACTACGATATTATATTTAAAACTTTAGTTGATGTGTAATGTAGCTGTGTGAACATAAACAACATCTCTAAATGTAATACCCTCAAAGTTCAATGCAAAGGGACATATTGGCTTTTACAGAGTTAGTTTAGCAAAGCCTACATCAAACGAAATTTGGGGGCTACAAACAAATATAGCCGGGCTAGTGAGATCACAAACCCTTTAGGTTACATGCATTTACTGTGTTTTTCAACAGAGATTGTTCTGTTTCTGTATTTGGGTTTTATTTGAATGATCTTCCTGAGAATTAAAATATATATATATTTATACATATATATATATATATATATATATATATATATATATATATATATATGTATATATAGCTAGCATTTGACAAAGGACAGCTTCCAGAATCTCTCTCAGTTCAGTGTTGGATTCAGCTAAAGCTGTAGCAGAAGCTGTGGATTGTGAGCCACAACCTGTAAGAATTTTTATTTGGTAAAATTGATCTATTACATGCAGTTTCTAGCGTTAACGGTATGTTGTAGTGAGGGCGTAAACAACAGAAATTGCTGTTTGGCACAGCTAACAATTTAGCTACAAATTCATATTTATCAGTCAAACCGCTGTAAACACACACTCTCTTCACCAGCACGTGCAGTGTCTCTCTATGCGTACGCTCTCCATGTGTTCTACATCTCAAATTAGAAACTTTCAAAGATAAGCGAATGTTTCATATTACTTACACATGCTTATTTCGAATATATGTGAAAGACACTTGTCAGATTTTATTTTATAAAGCAGGCATACGGTTTGCCTGTGTCATTTTCTGTCTGATTCAGGCACAAACTGAAACAGTTAACAGCTACTTTAAGTGACTGTGTTTACACAGTGCAAATCTGAACAATCACAGCCTCTTGAGGGCGGGCCTTTCAGAGGATCTAGAAAATATGACGGTTGTTTTCATGTTAGCTGAGTAGCTGTATATAATCAGAGTAAGATATATGACAAAATTATGTGATTTCCTACAAATGGAGCATGAGCACATTTGCATCTTGTAAACACAACCAAGCTTTAAAAATAAACCCTTTAAATGCATTTCAGAGTCTTAAAATGCAGTCGGACCAACCCCGTGAAGAAAATTTTGTTTCCGTTTAGAAATCTGCTTAAATCTCATCGTTAATCATCATGCAGAACAACATAGGTGGAAGCAAAGTCCATTTATAGTCTTTGGTGGAACCCATTGTGTTTACGTAATTGACGTTCACTGGGATTTCACTGACGCAAACAGAGTTTGTGGTGGTTATTTTGCTCCTTAGTAGCTTATAACAGCTGCATCAACCCATACATTAACAAATGATGAACTAGACATGCACCGATCGACCAGCCAAAGACCGGAATCTGATGATTTTTCGCATGTTAAGCCTGACCGGTCTTTTTTGTGCGCTTTTGTCATAGCGATGCCCGCAGACACTCACAGCTGCATATTAGTGTCATAGATTGATTTCACGTGGCTGCCATTTTAAAAGTGAATTTGAGGCTGCGGTGGGAAGAAACTCGGAAGTATCGCTTGAGTCACACAGGAACCTTTTGTACCTGGCTGTATATCTTAATAGCGAAAAGAACGTGACAAATTAGTAATTTCTCTGCCTTCTGAGTGACCGGAAGGTCCGTTTTGAATGTATAGTGGAAATAGAAAGGGATATCAGACCTCATTTTCAGCTAAGTTAAGGGAAACAGCACTAGTTAACTAAAGTTTTCTTTCCCAAACACAGAGAATTTCGTTTTAGATGCCATTTATCAAACTCAAGTTAATCAACTGATTCTTTTACTATATTAGACTTGACTCAAAACAGAATTTCGGCACTGATTTGCCATAGTATTTACCAGTGCAACAGAAATGACTGTAATTGGCTGTGAAGGTCATCATATCAGGCATAAGTTATTGACATTAGAATATTGTGTTTTGTTAGTGTTGTAAATGCAGTTTGGGGGCACTGATTTAACATTATTCTTATGTTATTATTAAAAATATCATTATTAATAAAAATGTTTGGAGTTTTTTCACACTTTATAGAGCATTTTGAGGGATGTGACTAATAACAAAGTATTTTCTATATGACATTTTGAACTTCCATAGCTTCCAAGAATCCAAAAAGCTCCACATATTGATCAATAATGTTATGGCAGCTGTTTTAAGATATGATTAAATAGCCTCTTACTACAGTTCAGAAATAGTTTGGCTTCAAGCAGGAAATGTTCATGGGCCAGCGACATTGCCAAATCGCAATGGTCTATATGTATAATTAACAGTGTTAATGATTGTCATTAGTAGTGTTGCATGGTCTTTTTGTTGCAAATTCTGGACTGTAAAATTAGTCTTAAATTTTATTCTATGTGGTATTAAAAAGTCTTAAATATAACTAGAATGAAATGTGCTTGCTCATGAAAGAAGCGCTGTAGATGTTGCCATATTTAGGGGTTAAGGGTTTTAACCGGCATGAAGCTTTAAATATTAATCTTTGTGGTGTAACTAACTAATCCTGTAGCGTTCTTTGGATGTGAAAGATGACATTTTTTAAGCTTGTTTCTATATATTTGTGTGTACAGCATCATGGAACATGTGACAAATCTAGAAACTTTGGTACTTTCCTTGTGATAAACTTGACATCCACAGTTATTGTGGCGAATACCATAGTATTGCACTATATTCAGAGTATCCTATTAATTCTCCCAAAATAGCTTCTATCTTGCTGCCAATTGCATGGTATCGCACATAACCACATATTTACATGGCGATGCATTCGACCAGAACACCATGACCTGTTTTCCTAGTAAAAGAGAAACATCGTCATTGTCATAGAATTCTGATTACCACACACATTCGTTTTAACTTGTAAAACCATTTCCCGGAATTTTTGGTCAGATTCTCATAAGAAGTTTAAAGGGGGGTATGGTCATTATGAAGTGTTGAAGCATTATGAAGCCTCTATCTGGTTCAATATAAAGTAAAATAGTAGTATTCTTGCAATATAAAGTGGAAGACATTATTATTAGCCCTCCTGTGAAATCTCAATTCTGTATTCCTTAAGTGCTGTTTAACAAAGCAGGGAAATTCACACAGTATTTTAGTTATATTTTTCCTCTCAAGAAAGTATTATTTATTTAATTTTGGCTGGAATAAAGGCAGTTTTTACATTTTTAGTGCCAATATTATTGGTTCTCTTAAGAAGTAGAACAAACTATAAGAACTGTTCTCCAATGACTTGCCTTATAAATCTAATGTGCCTAGTTAGCTAATTAAAATAATTAAGCCTTTGAATTCTACTTTGTTGAATACTATTGTCCTGCAGAATAACTAACAAAATATTATCTATTCTAATGTCATCATGGCAAATATAAAATAAATTAGTTAACTGAAACTTTTAAACTAGTACATTAAAATATCACCAGGGCTTGACCTAACTTTTTATTTTTTAAATTTTTTTACTTTTTTTCACAGTCACTGTGGCTGATAGTTTTCTAACTTTACTAGCCGATCGCCATTTTCACAAGCCCGATTTTGTTATTTGGAAAACATATTTTATATGCATAAAATTTGACTTGTGTTGTGTATGCTCTTGCTCATTGAGTTTTTATTTAGTTTTTATTTAACATGACTTTTCAGGGCTCAACGCTAAGGATTTACCAAATTTTTCTCTGACCACACCAAAAAACGGTCAAACTTTATTTTAATGGTCCATTTGTTGAATTTAGGTTGCATTACAACTAATTCTTATTAGATTATAAGTAGACTATTAGGTTGGGGTAAGTGTAAGTTGACATACTTGCAAAGTTTCTTATAGTCAGTGAAATATCTGTTGAAGGAGCAGTGTCAACAGATATTAAGCAAACAGTCTACTAATACTTAAATGGACCATCAAAATAAAGTTACCAAAAAAACTACTAAACTTCTGAGCCCTAAATAACTTTAAGCAAAAGAAAGCAGGTGAAAAAGTGTACCGTGTGCTATAATAAAAGGATGATCATGTGAAAGTTTGAAGGGAAAGCACTTGCAAAAAAACCTTTAAAAAATCTCGAGCTCTTGAGATCATGGGTCCACAAGTGTTGCTTTTTGTCCAGTCTATTTAAAAGAAATTCGCACGAGTTACACCAGTAACACCAGTTACGTTTCCAGGGCCCACTTTCGCGCAAGGAACCATTTTTTAAAAACTTTTAAACACTCGTGCACATTACCGAAATCAGCCTTGAAACTGAAGCCCTCATTGGTGCATCAGGATAGCCTGTATCACCATTTGCATGATCATACTCCCTTTCGATATTCACCTGCTTTCTTTTGCTTACTCAAACACGGCTATCATCGGGATCTCCTGCGCTCGCCCCTCATTGGGCAATCCTTATTGTTGAACTCTGCTTTTTAAGAAAACTTGGTAGTGGGAGTGACTGTCTAACCCACCTCTGCAGAAAATTACCCACATTTGTTGGGTTTGCGGGTGTTAATGTCAAGCCCTGAATATCACTCGGGTAGTATTTGAAAACAATCTTTTGATTTGAAAAAGAAAAGTTAAAAGGAGGAATCATTTGTCTTCTACTGCCTATTAATCTTTTCATACATAAATATATATAAGAGGTCAAAATTAATTGTTTCTTCGATGCACCGCGATGCAGACGTGTACAATTCGGGATCGGTTTATTAATAGATCATCATCTACAATAATAGTACTAATAGTACATCTTGTTAAGTACTGATGTCAT